TCTCTCTCTCTCTCTCTCTCTTAATCAAAGAAAAGAACAAATGAGCAATAGGGTCCTTACGGGACACACATTATGATTGCAACGATACAGAGAAGATTGATTGATTAAGAATTGTTGCCCCTGCGCATCCGAGAGGATGGGCACGAAGTAATCCAGAAATGGCCCGAATTAAACCAAAAAAAAAAAAAAAAAAAAAACATTTGCATCTCGCCTGCTGCGAGACAGCAAGGCCCTGTGCCCACCCCCCAATCCCTCTTCTTCCTCTTCCTCTTCCCTCTTCCCTCTTCCCTCTTCCTCTCCCTCTCCCTCTTCCTCGTCTTCCTCTTCCTCTTCCTCTTCCTCCTTCAGGTGTACCGCTGGGCTGCTGCATAGAATTTCGGGACTACCTCCAGCAGTTGGAATCGAACACATAAATTGAAAAAAACTGTCAATTTTTTTTCAGTCTAGGAACTGAAGTCGGTGCGTAAAGAGAACTCATTACGAAAAGCAGAAAAAACAAAAAAAAAACAAAAAAAAAACAGAAATCTAACAAACAAACAAACAAACAGAAATAAGAAAAAAAAAAAGACGGAAAACTAACAAACAAAAAAAAGTTATTGCCGACACTTGGTCTTTCAACTGAGGCGTACTCACACTACCACTATCTTACATGTGCCTGACTTATATGAATCCGACCGGAATTGCGGCCAGATTCATATAAGTACGGCCGGAGTTATGTGAATCTGGCCGCAATTCCGTCCAGAAACGAGTAAAAGAGTGCTAGCGTGAGTATGCCCTGAAGTCGGTGAGAAACAAGATTACAAAGAAGAAGAACAACAACAACAACAACAAAAAAAAACGAGAAAAATCAGGAACCTAACAAACAAACAAACAAACAAACGAACAAACAGACAAACAAACAAACAAACAAGTAAACAGAAAAAGAATAGAATTGAAAAAAAAAAAACTATAACAAACACAATTGAATGGACATTTGCATGTTCTTGCCTGCTGCGGGGGGGGAAAATCACCACCCACAACCGCGCATCCCTCCCTCCCCCTTTCTCTTCCTCTTCAGCTGCGCCTTCCTCGTCCGTCACGTGTAGCGCTGCGCTGATGGATGAAAATTGGGGCTCCCTTCTGCAGGTCGAATCAGAAAACGTCTGTGCGGTAGAAAGTCGACGATACGCATGACCAGATCCGACGGCAGGCGTGCCCAGATCGAGCCGCGGAAGACGCGCATGAACTGTGTGCAGAGAATCTCCTTGGCATCGCGCAGAGAGCGCAGTCGCATTCCGTGCTTGATGACGCAATCATCGAAATCTGACGTGGACCGCGGGAGATTAATCAATGACGCCGCCAGGTGAATGATCACTGCAACCTCCGACTCTTTGGATCGATCCACCTTCACGGCACTCAGATTCCCGTTATCATATCGCAGAGCTTTCACGCGGGAAATCGACGTCTCGAATCGGCCGTCAGTAGAGAAGAACGGCTCGTCTTTGCTGAGCGAGTACTGCTCATCAACTCCGCTTGGAACGACAAATGTGTTATCTCGGACGTATGTGTTGTCGCGGCACGGGGGTCCCGACGACGACGGATTATTTGGCGCCAAAGTGCACGGCGGCTCTGCTGCCGCCGGATTATTTGGCGCCAAAGTGCACGGCAGCTCTGCTACCGCCGGATTATTTGGCGCCAAAGTGCACGGGGGCTCTGCTACCGCCGGATTTCGCGCCAAAGCCAAAGTGCACGGGGGCTGTGCTGCCGCCGGATTCGGCGGCGGCGGCAGGGTGCGACGAGAGCGTGACAAGTGTGACATGTACGACGTGTCGATGACGTCCCACTTGGTCAGCTTCACGACGGTGCCGCTCAGGTCGGTATTGCGACCGGCCATCGCGATCGAGACACGCGACTCCTTGTCGCGGCTGCCACGTATCACGACGGCATACCACTCGTCGGCGTTGATCTGCAAGAAGACCGTTCGCAGCGACATGCGATCTCCGTCCCAACCGATCACGTCGTAGTCCATCAGCTCGACCACAGACCTGTTGGGATCGGGACGGAACTGCCCATCGTCGGCGATGACCCGGCCGTAGCAGTACATCACCTCGGCGAGAGCGGCATCGCTTTCCCGCCAAATATCGCTGCCGAAGCGCGCGAAAGATTTCGTCAGCTCGGCGGCGTTCTCCGATCTGCAGAACCGCACGAACTGCTTGGCAAACACCTCCTTCCATCTCATTCCCACCACCTCCACCACACCCCCGCCCCCCACCTTCTCCTCCTCCTCCTCCTCCTCCCCCTCCTCCTCCCCCTCGTCCTGCTGCTGCTGCTCTGCATCATCATCATCATCCCTCCTCAACTCGATCGCGCGGCTAGCGCCCCCCCGACATTCGTCGTTCGCGTCTCTGGTCGATGCCGCCACGTCAGCATCTGCAGCCCCGACGGAAGCATTGTCGGGAGCGGCGGCGGCGGCAGCGGGATCGGGATCGGGATCGCTCCTCCTAGCGACCTCGAGCACCTGAGCATCATCCTCGTCCTCGTCGTAATCCCGACCCAGTAAATCATTACCACCATCCCGAGCCCGATCAGATCGGGATCGCGGTTTGCGAACGGTGGCAGTTGACCGTTGACGACCCGACGAAGCGATTTCGCCGCGGTGGCGAGCCCCCGTGTTGTCGGGATCGCGATTGTCGACATGGACATCGCGGCCCACGTGACGGCCATGACGACGACGACGAGGACGACGATGACGAGGACGATGACAACTGCGTAGGGTCCCAGCACCACCCCCGGCGTCAGATCCGCGCCACGTGGCAGCAGCAGCTGCGGCAGCCCAGTTATCGTCCTTGTAGTATTTCCCCCCATCATGGCCGACCACCGCCGCCGCTGATGATGACGACGAGGGGGAGGAGCAGGAGGAGGACGACGACGACCGAGACCGAAAGATGCTCGACAAGAATGCGTGCATCATTTCCTCGATCTTGCCCTCACTCCTCATCAGCCGCTTACACGTGTCATCACAGGAGAACAAGTAGTTAGCAAACGCCCGTGCAAACCCTTGGTAGTCCCGTCTTCCCAGCAGATGAACGGCTCTCCTCTGGTCGAGAAATGCCCGAAGCCCATCGCGCATCATGCTCCCCTCCAGCCACCTGCAATCACTCAACTCCATGTTCAGGTAGGCCAGCTGGAGCGGAACTATGTGCCATTTTTCCAACAGACTCCCCTTAAACGAGGTAACGAAATCAATCACAGGCACAGCGTCATCATCATGCCGTCGGGGCCTTCTCCACCTTGGCGGCTCATCGTCTTCCTTTCCTCGTCGCTCGGCCCCGGAGAAGAAGAAGGCGGGTCGTTTAGCTGATTGTCTATTAGCTCCCACGCAATCCATCGCGCCGACAGGATGCTCAAGGGTCAGATCGCACTACCCTGGATTATTCATTTTTCACCCTCGATTACGAAGATCAACGGCCAGAAATGAACAATAGGGGCTACCGTCTTCCCCCGAACACAACGCACCCTTATTTTGGCTGTATCTGGCCGGAAGTATAGCGTGTATACAAGACGGTAGTGGGATCTGGCCCTAAACCACCCGTACTTCCTACAGTAGTGCCCGTTAACGCGCCACGATCATGATTTTAGGAAATGTACGGGACACTACAGGAGCGACCAAATTCATCCAAGTAGAAATGTTTCTACGGTTCTTTTCCGCGGCCGATAGCTGGACCAAGTACTGGTGGAGTAACTAACGAGGAGGAGCGGAAGCTGATTGCCGCCGAAAGCCTCAGGGCGGGCATATACTCTCTCACCACACACTGGCATGGCACTTTCCTAAAATGTACGTATTTGTGACTCCAATTACCGCCAGAATTGGGGATGCATCTGACCGTAATCACGTCCAGAGCTGATTGGAAACGCTCGCTCGCAGTGTGAGTACGCTCTGGCTCCCCTTCAGGGCATACTCACACAGGTACCTTGCTAAATGCGTCATCTGACTGCAAGTACGGCCATATACCTGAATGGATCTGACCGGGATTACGTCCAGACACAAGTGAAAAAAGTGGCGGTGTGAGTATGCCCTCAGAGACTCTTTTTTTCATTTTTTTAAGAGGCTTATTACTACGACGACACAGACAGATAGCGTGCGCTGCTCTATCGTGCAATGCTGCCTGCTCTTTCTCAACCTTGCCTCCGTCATTGCGCGTCGCTCCACTACACAACACTCAACATGTATCTGGAAGTCATGATCGTCCACATACATTCAAAATGTCAATCTCGTGCAAATGCACCTGGTCCAGAAAGCCTCCAAATTCATGCGGCCAAGTACTCAGGGAGGACAATCTGATTGCTCGAGAGCCTCCGGCTTACAGTATGATGTCTCAGCTACGTGTACCCCTTGATTGTACGATGCTGACAAGGCACAATCTGACCACCTACCTTCTCCTCTTCCTCTCACCACCCACGAACAATAGAGATAGCCCCGGGCCGCCGCCACGTAGCCATGACGCCAAGTACTGAAGGAGCACAATCTGATTGCTCGAGAGCCTCCGACTTACAGTAGGATGTCTCAGCTACGTGTACCCCTTGATTGTACGACGCTGACCTGGCACAATCTGACCACCTACCTTCTCCTCTTCCCTCTCGCCGCCCAAGAAGGATAGAGATATTCAGGCCGCACACCAAACTCTCAGGGAAGGCAATCTGATTGCTCGAGAGCCTCCGACTTATGCTGACTGAGATGCGTGTTCCCCTTGATTGCACGATACTGACCTGGCACATACCTTCTCCTCTTCCCTCTCGCCGCCCAAGAAGGATAGATATATTCAGGCCGCCGCCATGCGCCTATCAACACCACAGAAATTCGTTATCATTACAGCATCTGCACGGTCAGATCATCCACCCATGGTTCAACGGGCACCCTAATGGAAGAAGAAGAAGAAGAGGAAGATTGGTACGAGTGACATGAGAGGTGCTCGCTCCAATACGCACCAACCAAATATGCAAAATGAGACTGAATCTTCCACGAGAACATGGAAAGATACGTCGCCGTAGTTTTTGTCTTTTGTGCATGTTGAGAGTAGGGGAGCAGCGCCCAGAGTGTAGTTCCCGCCTTTTCTATGGTAGTCGGGGCCTCGTTGCACTGCTCGCCATCCGCCAACATTTTGATTGCATCTGGACTTACGTTGTCCAGATGCATTCAATCCGCCAACATTTTGATTGCATCTGGACTCACGTTTGTCCAGAGGCATTCAACATGTTGGCGGATGGCAAATAGTGCAGCGATGGTAGGCCGTCGGTTTCAAAAGGCAACCACTCTGCCACGCCCCAGAACTCGCCCCCTGAAATCCAAGTAGTCCGCTGGTTGAAACATCAGGTACGTGTGTTCTATTTGAATAGTCTGCACAGACGGCTGTTCTATTCAACATCAGCCTGCAGTGCTGCACTCGTTTTCAAGCGCGTGCCCCCTGCAGTGTTCCACCCCTCTCTCTCTCTCTCTCTCTCTCTCTCTCTCTCTCTCTCTCTCTCTCTCTCTCTCTCTCTCTCTCTCTCTCTCTCTCTCTCTCTCTC